GAGGGAAGAGGGAAGAGGGAAGAGGGAAGAGGGAAGAGGGAAGAGGGAAGAGGGAAGAGGGAAGAGGGAAGAGGGAAGAGGGAAGAGGGAAGAGGGAAGAGGGAAGAGGGAAGAGGGAAGAGGGAAGAGGGAAGAGGGAAGAGGGAAGAGGGAAAAGGGAAAAGGGAAAAGGGAAAAGGGAAAAGGGAAAAGGGAAAAGGGAAAAGGGAAAAGGGAAAAGGGAAAGTGGGAGAGAAAGAGGGAGAGAAAGAGGGAGAGAAAGAGGGAGAGAAAAAGGAAAAGAAAAAGGAAAAGAAAAGAGGAAAAGAGATGCAAATCAGTTGGCTTGTAAACAGACTGGAGCCAGGCGGTCAGAGGGAGGGTGTGTGGCACGGCGGGAGGAGGCGGCAGCTCCCCGGCCGAGGCGGGCGCTGCCCTCCCGTGTGCGCGGTGCCGGGGGCGCAGGCCGGGCCCTGCCGCCGGCCCACCCGCGCGTTCTCAGCCCAGCTCTCCCTCCGCCAGGAGCTCCTCGCCGCCGCTCCCGCTCGGCTCCCCCGTGCCCGGCGCTCCCCGGCCCGACCGGCCCCGCCGCCGCCCACGGCGCGCCCTCAGCAGCGGGGCCGGGGCCCGGCGGGGGGGCGCGGCTGCGGGGATGCTGCGGGGGGGCGGCGGGGCCCCGCGCCCTGACACACGTACCATTCGCTCAGGTTGGCGGCGGGCTGCGCGGGCGCGGAGGGCTCAGCGTGCGAGCAGGAGGCGGGGGGCTCTCGGCCGGAGTCCGAGGAGGGGGACACCAAGGAGGGCGTGGAGGACTCGTAGCCGGAGCTGGGAGGAGGGGATTTGCAGTGCACTTTCATGTGTTTTCTCAGGGAGCTGGGGTGGGTGTAGGACTTGTCGCAGCCTCTCACTTTGCAGTTGTAGGGCTTGTCGCTGGTGTGGACGTGCGAGTGCTTCTTCCTGTCGCTGCTGTTGGCGAAGCGCCTGTCGCAGCCCTCGAATTCACATTTGAACGGCTTCTCCCCTGCAGGAGGCAATGGGCGAGCACACCTATTAGCAGCGGCGGCGGCAGGGCCGAGAGCGGTGCATCCCGGTACCTCCCCAGCCCGCAGCCTCCCGGAGCCCTCTCTCCGGCCCTGGCCCTGCTCCTCTCCCCGCGGAGACTCCTCTCGCTGGCCCTGCCCTTCCCCGCCGGCCCCGCCGAGCATCCCCCGGGAGCCGCCGCTCCATGCCCACCCGGCTCCGCACGCAGAGCACCCTGCCCGGACAGCTTCTCTTTCCCTGTCCCCTGCCCTGTGTGTCAGCGTGGCGGTTTGTGCAAAAGACAAAGCTCCGAAACAAGGAAAACTTAAGAGGCCAAGTGCTCGTTCCGAGCAAATGTGTGCTGTCCCCGCGGACTCCGAAGTCTGCAGAAAGAGCGGTCAGTGATTTATCCCTTCGAATAAATATCCCTTCCCCTCCGTTAAATACATTTCTCACAGTCCCTCAGGTGCACGTGGAAATATTTTTCACAGCCTGGGCTAGATCACATTTAATCCACTTCTTACTTGCACTGATTACACTGTCACGGAAGATCCACATCCCCCTCCTTTTCCCTTCTCCCCAGCTTGGTAATACCATGTGTACAGGCACAAAGTATTTCAGAAAGACATTGATTGTGGGGGCAGAACGACAAAGATTCAGTAGAAGGATGACTAGGCCGGAGCACAGCACTGTCGCGAGGGTAGGATTCCCTTTTCATTTGAACGTACAGTCATGGAAGGAATTGCATTCGGCATTAATTTGGCCCGTAATCTGATAAGTGACGTTATGCATAACAGAAATATAATCGTGTTGCTGGAGTCGTGTGCAAGTTTAACCTCTAATCGTGTGGACCTGGCATGGTACACGACATACAGGAGGTTTTCAAGGAAACACGCCACAGACAGCTTCAGGATGAAATGTTGACGGCATTTTCGTCGCTGACAATAGCAAAGTGCAAAACCCTGCTCGCCAAGGGTTACCCAGGTCCTGTACCAGCGAGTATGAAAATAACTTTCTCATCAGTCAAAAGCCAAAAGTATCAGGAAGGAGAGGATTCCACAAAAATATATGGTCGAAGCTTAACGTGAAGTGCAAACAAAGCCACTGTGTTCACCAACCATCATGGCGTATGTGGTCAAAAGGACTTCCAATATTTGGGTTCGTGTGTTTGTTTTGGTTTGGGATTTTTAAAAAAATTTCTTGGGTTGTGAGTTTCTGTGGTGTTTTTTTTTTTTCCTCTTAGTTTGTCATGATTAAATTTAGGAGGGACTCAGCCCACAACGGTTTCGGCTGCGAGCGGAGGCAAATAAAGGAAGGCATTCCAAATATTTCACATGAATGCACTTTATGCAAGGTGGGTGGGAAAAGCTCACTGCTCCTCGTTTAGAGTATGTCCTTTCTGCACTGTAATAATCAATGAGGAGCACTCACATCCTGCACCCTTAACACTTGCATAGAGGATGGGTAAATACCTGGCGTTGGAGGGAAGGGGGGGAAGAGATTAAAAATAAGGTCTCTTACAAAACGATGCGGATTCTGTAACCAAATACTGTGGACTTGTAGCAGTGCAAACGCATAGACACACGCCCGCATATAATCTAATTAGAGTTTCACGTAAGGAAACAATTTGACCTTCAGCATCTAAGTTGAGATAACAAATCAAGGATATTAGTGTAGTACAAGCAAGCAGTAAGTTAGGAGACCCCAGGGAAAGCCATCCTCATAAGCACTCCGCTTGTGCAAAGTAAGTTCCATTCAGGTAAAAGAGGGCTGCGGTGCACTGCGCTTTGCCGAGAGTTGAAAAATGTTCAACTTCCCTTAACCCCCTGAAAGCGCCACTGAAAGGTCCGTCCGTGCAGCCGGGTTTCAAGAGAGAAGAGGGCAGCATTTTCTCAGCTGCCCGGGTTGCATTCCCTGAACGCCTCAATAAAGAAGAGCCGTACGAGACATTTGCAAGTATCGCTTTCCCGGGAGCAGGTTTTCTTAGGTGGGAATCCCTGCCCGGCACGGGTGGCGGCTGCCGCAGCCCGGGCACTGAGCTGCAGCCACGCAGAAAGTTCCGCGGCCGAAGGAGACGAGCAGGACCCGAACCGCCATTATACCCCACACTTGTAGCTGGGCAAAAGTGTTCAGTGAAATTCAGCTTGGAATTGGTGGCATAATCCCCCGTCTCCGGGAGTGGATTAAGGTATTTACCAACTTGTGCGGGTGAGCCGTGGCGGGGGGAAGCCGGAGGCGGTGGCCTCCGGGCTGCGGGCGAGGCGCGGGGCGCTGGGGGCCGCAGGGAGGGAGCGGGGCTCCTGCCCACGGCTCGCACTATTGTTCCTGGCCCTCTGGGAAGGCGGCGAAGCGATCCCAGCCCGTCCTGCTCGTCCTGCTGCCACCGCCTTAACGGCCTTATCCTCCAACCTGGAAAACTCGCATATCTCCAGATATCCCTCTGCCTGCTCCCCAGCCTCGGAGAAATCAGGAGTCATTAATATTTAAGGAGGCAATAATTTTCCTGTTGAATCTAGAACTGTCTTCATGAATAATTCGAAGTAAGTTCTATTAGGGTTTCAGAAACATTGCTTTTCTGACAATTTCTAGGTGTTTAATAGAAACGGCGGAACCATAAAGGCCCCGCAGGAGTTTGCACAATACGGCAATTAATCACCGGGAAAGTTAAAGCCAAAAGTACAGACGCGCAGAATGGTGTTTAGTAAAAGCAAATCTCCGATCTCGGGTTTGCCCTGAACCTGCGTCTCCGATGTAGGTCAGTTTTCCCAAGAATTTAACCATTTTCTGCTTCAGAGACTTCGAACAGTGAGGCCGTTAAAGAGCAGTAAAAGTTTGTTTACTTAAGAAAAACACTGTCATTAAGAGATGAGTTCTCCCGGTTAATAGCTGTACCTGTGCTGATTCAACAAGGAACTGGCTCGGATACAAGGAACGTGACCCGGGGATACCCCTTTTTCCTCGAAAAAGGGGCCGAGAAGGCGGCCGGAGAACGCAGCTGTGCTATCGCCTCCCTCCTCCCCCACCTCCCGCCCGGCACACAGACCTGCTCCTCACAGAGCGATGGAAAAATAATGAGGTGACGAGTGACGGTCGCTGTAAAATCCCAGTGCTATGTTTAGAAGATAGCGATACGATATTAGTATATGTTCTGCATATTATATCACGTTGAGCTCTATCATAAAAAATGCAACTCCTGGAAGGTCAAGCCCTGCACCGAGCATGGGGGAAGGGGAGTCTTAGGAACTGGAAGGCGAAAAAAATCGTTTGGCTGTAAGCAGATCTTACAATAGGATTATGTAGTTTCCCTCGCAGTGCATAAGGCTATACAGAAGGGGGTGGGAGGTGGAAAACCCTACACTGGAACAGATTAAATTTTCCAAAAAGGGCTTATTTCTTATCTTCTTCTTCAGAGGGGAGGGAAGAAAAAAAAAAAAAAAAAAAAAAAAAGACAACCCAGTGCTACAGACTACAAACACCGGCTGCTAAACTAATTAATACAACTTCACAAGCTGCTCCTGGAAGTGTGAAAACTTTCTACGTGCAATTTCATTAATTATAAATGCTTTCCTGGCCGGAAGAGTTCAAACGCAGTTTTGCAAGATCGTCCATCGAGTTACTTTATTTTCTGTTAACTAGAACTAACAGATGTTTCTGACACATGTCCCAATTTCGCTTAACAGATCTGCAAATGACATTTCAAAATGTACAGGCCGAAACAATACCAGGGTTTCTTTCCTTTTCTTTCTTTTCTTTTTTCTTTTTTCTTTTTTCTTTTTTCTTTTTTTTTTTTTTCCCTCATGAGAATCAGAACTTGCAGCTCCCCATATTTGCGAATGCAGAAAGTCGTTGGAAGGCAATGCTCATTAAAAATGTCAGTGTTATTCAGATCAAACATTTGAAACTCCCCCTGCCCAAAACAGAACTGTTGAACGAAAAGGTCGCAGCTGTGTTATTCTCACAATGTTCGAGCAGCAGCATCTCAGCGACATCAGTCAAAACTGACTAGACAAGTTGTAACTTCCATTGTTCACTTTTAATTTGTGAGCTTGCACAATGATTTCATTTTTTCCCCCCCGACTACTTTAAATCGGAAAAAAAAAAATCCTCGTCTGTGTGAATGAGCAGAAATAGTCCCTATATCACTCGATATTTACACAG